GTCAATTTCATTCCTTTCTATTTTTTCCATTGTCCTTAGCATTTCGTCAAATCTTTTTTCAATGTTCTTAGTTTCTTTGCCTTTGGCTAGAACATGTTCTTTTAGTTCACAGAAGTTTCTTACTACCCACCTTCTGAAGTCTGATTCTGTCATTTCATCACACTCGTTCTCCATCCAATCCTGTTCCCTTGCTGGTGAGGAGTTGTCATCCCTTTTAGGAGGAGAGGGGTTCTGGTTTCAGGTGTTTTCATCCTTTTTGTGTTGGTTTCTTCCCATCTTTATGTATTTATCCACCTGTCGTCTTTGTAGTTGCTGGCTTTCAGATTGGGTCTCAAATCTTTCAGATTGACGTTCTGTTTGTTGATGATGAGGTTATTTCTGTTTCTTGGTTTTTCTTCTGACAGTCTGGCCCCTCTGTTGTAGGTCTGCTGAGGTCCACTCCAGGCCCTGCTTGCCTGGGGATCACCTGCAGCAGCTGCTGAACAGTAAGGGTTGTTACCAGTTTTCTTCTTCTGCTATCTTTGTCCCAGAAGGATACCCGCCAAGTGTCAATCTGATCTCTCCTTTACGAGGTGACTCTTTGGATATACAGGGGTCAGGGAGCTGCTTGAGGAGACGGTCTCTTCTTTATAGGAGCTCAAATGCTGAGCTGTGAGCTCCATTGTTCATTCAGAGCTGCTGCACAGGTACGTTTAGGCCTGCTGCAGCAGAACTCATAAACCGCTTTTTGTTCCCAGGTGCCCTGTTCAGGGATTTAGGGCTTTATGACTTTCTGTTATGTTGCTGCCTTCTTTTTTTTTTTCCTTCAGAGCTGCCCTGCCCAACAAGGAGGCAGCCTAGTCACTGTCTGCCTGTATAGGCTTTGCTGAGCTGCTGTGGGCTCCGCCCAGCTGCTGAGTGAACTTCACTGCAGTCCTGTTTATATGGGTGTAGTGATAACTGCCTCAGCAATGGTGGCCTGCCTCTGTTAAGGCAGAGCCTCTCTGCTGTGGCGGGTTGCCTTGGCAACGGTGGGCTGCCTCAGCATTGGCTAACTACCTCCGTAGTGGCAGGCTGCCTCGGTAATGGCGGACGCCTCTCCCCCACAGAGGTGAACCGTCCTGGGTTCAGCTGCGCTTGCTGCAAAACTCTCAATCCAGAGAGTTTCTGATTGCTGTTCTTTTGTGTGGGTGGGACCAGCCGAGCCTGATTACCTGGCTCCCTGCCTCGAGCCTTGGTTTTTTTTTTTTTTTTTTAAGTTGGTGTTCCAGTCGCCAGTTGAAGAGGCGCTGGGGTCTGTGTTTTTTCCCATGCGGCAACTCACTGCGCTGGCTTAAACAGCGGCACTGAGATTTTTGGCCCTGGAATCTACTGTCCTGGTTCCCTGCTCAGTTCCCTTTTTAATCAGATGAATGGGCGACTTCCCGTGGCTCCAATCGTCAGCCAAAAGGGCACCTGGACCGGTGTATTTTGTACAGAGAACCGCTGCTCCGGAGTGCCCACAAAGCAGCTGCGCGGGGCAAAGCAGTGGCGCCAGCCGGCACAGTGGCGCTGGCCAAAACAGCCACGTTGGCGACCTGTGGAGCTCCTCTGCCTGGGAATTGCCTAGTCTGTGGGCAATAAAAATGTGGCATCCACTCACCCTCTGTGCTTTCACTGGGAGCTGCAATCCTGAGCTGTTCCTAAACTGCCATCTTAGATCATCCCCCCCAATTCTTTCAAAAATTTTGTGTTTCTGCTTCTCAGGTAGCCTATTTTATGGACGATCTAGCAGTGAATGTAGTTAATCCAGGCAGCACTTCCCTATTTTCTATTGTTCCTATCTAACTGGAAAACACTAAGACCAATCCATGTAAAAATTTGGCCACCAGCCTAAGGTACCAGCTCTAGATTCCTATCTATGGTGTTTCCATCATGTAAGGTTTTCTGCTTATTTCTCTTTTCCTGCATTCTCATCCTCATGTTGTGGGAACAGGACTGTTTGTTCCCCTACTCTTCCTGTCCCTCCAGAAACTTTTCACAGTGTGCTCTGGATAGACCATCAATTGAGTGGTTAAGGAACTATTCTACATCTACATCTATATCCTTTTCACTGGGTATTCTTTTTATCAGTTGGCTTTCCAGAGACCTGGCTCTTCCATGGGAAGAGGTTTCTTTTTTTTTTTTTTCAAGTGGGGGATGTTGATCCTTTTATAATTCTTGGCTTTGGCGTCTTCTGAGCTCCCAATACCACCTCCTGACCATTAATTCTCTGAGGCTTGTGCAATCCCCTTATTTTATTTTATTTTTTATTTTTATTTATTTCTTTAAGAGACAGTCTCCCTATGTTGCCTAGGCTGGAGTGCAGTGGCTATTCACAGGTACGATCCCACCACTGATCAGCATGGGAGTTTTGACCTGCTCTGTTTCCGACCTGGGCCACTTCACCCCTCCTTAGGCAACCTGGTGGTTCCCCACTCCCAGGAGATTACCATACTGATGCCGAACTTAGTGTCGGCACCCAATTGGCATAGCACACTACAGCCCAGAACTTCTGGACTCAAGCGATCCTCCAGTCTCAGTCTCCTGAATAGCTTGGACTACAGGCATGCACCACGGCACCGGCCCCCTTGTCTTTTGAGACTCACGCCATTTACTTTTTCCACCCTATACTACTCTCCGTTGTTATAATTTACCAACCTCTCAGTCATTCCTTATCCATTAAAGCCTTCAGCATGAGGTTCATGATCTTTCCTTTGACTCCATGTTCCACTCTCATCCCTAGTGCCTCCTATATCGATATGAATGGTCAGTTTACCCCCAGTCTCTTGCTTTCTTGATCCTGATCTCCAGGGGGTGTCATGACACTTAATCCACCTGTGGCCATGTCCTTGTATTGGCATCACCTGTAAATGTTCTATCTCTGAAATCATCAGTCTATGCTTCTTTGCTTTTGACTACTATTTCTATGGACTCAGTTGCATCTCCCCAAAATGCATGTGCTGAAGCCCTACTGCTCACTGTGATGGTATTTGGAGATGGGGTCTTCAGGAGGTCATTGGGTTTAGATGAGGTCATGAGGCATGGCACCCTCATGATGGGATTAGTGCCCTTATAAGAAGAGATGCCCACGTGGTGAATTGTATCTGTCATCCTAGTCTGGGATGCTGAGGTGGGAAGATCACTGAGGCCAGGAGTTTGAAACCAGTCTGGGCAACATAGCAAGACTGTGTCTTTGCTAAAAAATAAAATAAATAGCCAAGCATGGTGGTGCACACCTGTAGTCCCAACTGTTTGAGAGGCTGAGGTTGGAGAATCTCTTGATCCCAGGAGTTTGAGGGTTCAGGGAGCTGTGATCACACCACTGCACTCTAGTTTGGGGCAACAAAGCAAGACCCTGCCTCTCTTTAAAAACAAACAAACAAACTGAAAGACACTAAAGATCTTGGAAAGAGCTTGGTCTCTCTCTTTCCCTGTTAGGTGAGAACACCATGAGTAGTTGGTAGTCTGCAACTCAGAAGAGGGCCTTCACTAGAACCTGGCCTTGCTGGTACTCTGACCTTGGACTTCCAGCCTCTAGAACTGTAAGAAAAATAGCTTTGGTTGTTTAAGCTACCCAGTCTATGATATTTTGTTACAAAAGCCTGAGCAGACTAAGACAATTACCTTCAGTCCTTCCAGCTCCATTGACATCTCCAGTGCCTTGTTTTCTCACCACTGATCTGCCTTTTCTTGAATTCCCTTCCTTCTCTGATCAGCTTAGTTTCTTAGTCTTTCATCTTAATGTCAATATCTCTAGATCCCTTGCCCTCTGCCCTTTCATTGGGCTGAACTTTTTATGGTCTCAGAGGCAGTGACCCCATATATTTTGTATACATGGGTGTACCTTCTCGGCAAAATGTTAATCCTGCTTCAATCTAACTGTCCGCTTTTACCATGCTTTTCATCTGTGTTTTAGAGTGATATTGGAGACAATGATACAACTAAATAGATTAATGACTTTGAAGACTAATGCTCTCCAACCTCAAACGTACTCTTATCATTTCTCCTTTATTTTCACAATCTGCTATTTCTTCCATTTTCAGCAATGATAATTTTAAACATCCTCCACTCAGACTCCTACCCTATTATTTTTTCATTCTTATCACATGCCATTGCCTTGTACTCCACAAAGAAGACAGGAATTGTCAGGTGGAAACTAGCTCAGATTTCTGCTATGAAATCTGTAAGTTTGTAAGTTATCTGTACCCATAATTCTTTGTCTCTCAATGGAAGTGCGGTCTCTCTAGTTTAAACCATTTCCTCTTCCAGTGCTTAAGATTCAGGTCTGCATTTCTAGTGTGTGCTTAGTACTTTGACAGTGTGCTTACACAGTGAATGGACAAGTTTGGTTTCTGGATAAATAGTGAATCAACATCAACCTACAGTTTCTGTCTGCCCATAGCCTTCATAGATGTTCAACTTAGTGGTGCGTTTCCAGTCCTTAATCACCCCAGGGCTGGTGCATCCTCCTGCAGCCACATAATGCTTCAGACTCTTGAATCTGTAGCTGGAGAGGCATCAAAAATTGTTCTTAGCCTCAGGGTATATTTCTACCAATAATAGGTCTGTTGTTAGAACCTTGGAAAAATGATGCAGATATTCTAATACAGGAGGTGCTCATTAAGTGGTAGTCTATGTTCTTATTACTATTCTATTGGGTAGTCTATTCAGATACCCCAGTGAGATCAATCAGCCATAAAGACACTCATTTACTCTTCTGGACAACAGGCATTAATGTTAAAAGCAAATCAACCAGTGCTAACTGATGACAGGAAGTCAGCCTTCTGCAGCAACCCTTCTGAGTTTTACTACCTCTCCCAAAGCCTGAACTGTGTATGAAGGTCATGTCAGCAATGGTAAGGTAAAAGAGAACTAATTTTCTGAAGTCTGGAGGTGGAAAGAAAGCCACCAATTTTATAAACTAGGCTTAAAGTCTGTAGATATTATTAGTTTCCCAGTGCCCTGAATACACAGAATAGTAGTGAACATTTTTAATAAACTCACAATTCATTTTATGTTTATTTGATTTTGGTGATGTCCAGTGGAAGGGTCAAGAGTGGGAAGTTTATAGTAAAAGTTTTTATGGTCTCAGATAGAGGCAGTGACCCTGTATATCTTCAATACATGAGTGTACCACATTAATGGTGATGTGGTAGCTTGTCTATATTAGATAATAACTGCCTGCCCGGTTAGGTCCAGAGACTAAGAAAGATCAAAATTGATGAACGGATTCTGAATTAATTCCAAAGGCACCAATACATCATTGCCTTTATATTATTAATTTCAGGGTATAAGTAAGAGGTGACTTTAAAAATTTTTAAGTGTTTTTCTTTTAAGGGTTTAAGAAGCAATCTGAACATTTTATATGAGATGGAATGTTGCTGAATAAAGATATAATATATTTAACCATAACTGTTTTTAACTGGTCCACAAAGTGCCAATGAACTAGGCATTTCTCCATGTCAACCTAATTTAATATGGTGATATTGTTTGCTACCACAGTTGTTTCCTTCTGTCGAGTTTATGTCCTTGCCCATATAGCTAAAATGAAATTTAGAGTTAAATGATTATTTAGCAAACTCTAAGGCTTGACACAATGCTTGAGAACCTGTGATTTCTCATTAATCTTTATCGATGATGATTGGCAATTCCACTTCTCAGTTGGTACCCTAGGGAATTCTAGGGTGTGTGCAATGATGCTCATTTCAGCAGCTTAGAAAAGATTAAAGTATCTTTGATAGGTACTTGGCTCATTAATGTACAGTTCATTCATACTCAGGAATACTATGCAATGATTAAAAATGTATTACATATATTATCATAAATACAGCTTTAAGGAACAGTGTGAAATAAAAAATGCAAGTTTCGCTATGATATAAACAGGTGCCATCTAATCCCACCCCAATATCATAATATGTTTCTTTTGGGATAGATGGATAGGTAGATAGACATAGGTATAAATTTATTTTAAAGGCCTAGAAGAATTCATTTCCAAGAGGGAAGGTGGTCTTTGTCTTTAACTCATTTCCTGTTTGCTCTGAGAAATGAGTGCTGGCAGTGAACTACACTTTTTTTTTTCATAATGGGAAATGGGTGTAATATTTACTTTTTAAATTAGAGGTCATATATTTGTCTTTAATGTTTATCTTTTTAAAGGGAGGTATAATTAAAATTTAGTTAAACAGACTCAACTTTCTGATTATAATTTAATTTTATGTTCTGGGCCAAGATATGGACTTCAAGTTGCAAGGGAATAAAAAAATCCCACACGCTAATAGAGTTATTGTCATCAGTGGCAGCCAGACAGGTGTGTTACCAAAGGGTAGGATTGGATCTACTTCAACAGATTAAGGGTTCCTAATTTTATTTATGGTATCATAAGTGGAAATGGACTCTCTCCTGAGGGATCCTCTCTTATCTGGTGAAACCCTTGTGCTGAAGCAGTTTGTGGTACATCTCTGGATTTGCAGATAGAGTGGTGATGGGAAATCTGGACAGGACCTGGGCCCCAAAGGAAGGAAAACAAAAATATGCATGTGAGGTGGGAGAGACAGTGAGACTGTGGGGGAAAAGATCCAGGGAAGAGGGCCATGGACTTTGAACTCAGCTTGGGGATGCCTTGTATCTCAAAGAATTACCGATTCCCCACCTTGCATATCTTGGGAGAGAATTTAGTGTTAGCTCTGTGAACTTAGGAGCTATCATGTTAATCACTGCTAACTGAATGGATACACAGTGAGACATTTACTTCTGGATCCAAGAAGCCTTGTTTTGATCTTTGTTGCTTTAAATAATAAGCCTAGATATTGCCATCAAAATTGTGAATTGTGAAGCAGTTGAGAGGTTAGCACAGCAGTGTAGAGGTTGTGCTGTGGAGTCCAGTAGACCACAGTTTAATTCCTAGTTCCACCTTGGCAATTCTTTAGGCCAGTTACTTAACCTCCATGAGACTCAGTTTCCCTAGTTCTTCCCTCACAGAGTTTTGGGGAGATGAAATGAAATAGTCCATATGAAGTGCCAGTAAGTAATCAATAAATGATAACTGATATTAATATTGTCTTCTCCAATATCACTATTGTCTTTTAAAAGCTTCCTTCTCAGTGACACAACAGAAGTAGCCAACTCCTAATTCCAAAGCCCCTAGGGAAGTGAGAGGCCATTGCTCTCACAAGCAGGGAGAGCATTTTCAAGTCAAGATCACACTCCAAATTTAATTATTGATTTGCCCCATTCTGGGCATGAGTCACTGCGCCATTGTTAATGCTTGTCTCTGGTCTTTGTCCCATACATCCCACACTAGGAACTGGTCTTACATTTAGAACAGTCTCAGGGCAGAAGGTTGGCATGCGACACAGAAACAGACAGGCTCCTTGGAGCCAAGCTTCCAAGACATTGCTCAGAGATAAAGATCCACCAAAGGCATCACCCAGACTCCACAAAACATCTGTCAGCTGTAGATCCATCCATTGTCTAAAGAGAAATAGGAAGGCCATTTGAATTCTCTTGTGCTGGTACTAGCAACAACAATAGTACTTGCTATTATCAAGCACTGACCTGTGGAGATAAACAAAGATCACACAAATGAAAACAAACGCTATGAGGCCATGAGGCCAATGGACTCCTTAAATTTTTTCAGTAACAATCTTAATTGGCATGGCATCACCTTCCAAGTTTTATGGCTTTCAGAGGTCTCAGAAGTTATCCAGTAGGTACTTTAATTAATTAATGGATTGAATAAGTCAATGATCTCAGTTTCCCCTATTTTTTTCTCTACCCGATATCTACTGGCCGTTGTACCTTATGAGAGTCAAAGACTATGAGGTGACGGTGAGCAACATACACCTATTTCCCCCAAGGGACCTTTGGTAGAGTTTGTTAAGAGAACTTGAGTGTGGAATAACAACACACAACCATTTATCTTAGGCAGAATTGGATGTAAGGTGGAGAAACTTAACCCCAGACAAACCAAGCTAAAACAAATGCAAGCCAGTTACTTCATTGCGTGTTCAACCAAAGAGATTGATATCAGTTTCAATGTTCTTTGAATTTGCCAAGAAGTACTTAACTAATTTTCTTAAGAAAGGGGTAGTGTGATTTTGATCTTAGAGGCTGACTCTAGAACCCAAGCCCCTTATCAATTGTGACTCCACCTCTGTGTTTATCACTACTGATAGTGGTCAACACAGTTGTTCACCCTGTTGCTGGTAGCATAGAAAAACAAGTAACATCCCAAGTGTGTCTTTGGGGGTGATCATCCTGGATCCTTCACCTACTGCATGGAATCCCTATTCTTCCTCTTTTCCCTCCTGCATACTCTTAGAATTTTGAACTGTAGTAATTTGCTTTTGATTATTTGGGGTATGCCCTCCCACCCTGCTCTCAGCCCTGTTCCTTCTCTCAACATTGACAGTTTCTGTAGTCTTCATTAGGAAACTTCTTTCTTAGCTTTAGTCTTATGAAGCTCCGTTTACCTGCAATAGAGGAACTTTCAGGTCTGTACAGGCTGTGGGAGAACTGTACCTGGAAGTCTGGCTGAATCCCATTCCCAAACCATACTGGGAATACTCAGCCATTTTGGGAGCTCCTGTTGTCCCTTCGGTGAAGAATATGGCCATTAGATCTTGGCTCTTGGTCCTCACGCAGGTCTGCTTTGGAGGGGCAACTCTGTAAGTCACGAAAGAGGCAACAGGCCTAAATTTAGGTTCTCTGACTGAGTGCCTAGGCCCTGAGTTTGGTAATCTCTGATTTTAAGAAATAACAGCTGGTATCTTAGAGGATGATTTGTTAGAGGGGCAGCTGCCATTTTTCCCTTAAAATTTTTTGCATTAATTTTTGTTGCATAAGAAATATATGATGCATTTACACTCCAGCCTTCTTTTTCTCAGTAAAAGACCCTCTTTATTCATTCAGTTGCTCAAGTCAAAAATCTGTAGTAATTCTTGTTGTTCCTCTTTCCCCATCTCTCTACTTACCGACCCAGTTATCTGTGCTGCATCGTAACCATCGCCAAGCCCTGACAACTCTACCTCTAAAACATGTCACAAGCCTCTCTCTTCACTATCTCTACTCATGGATGGGATTAAGGTGGATTGAATGAAATACGTGCTACAGGTGTGATATTTAAGGGGCTACCAGCAAATTCAGTAGTCAAATAATATTTTAGTGAAATAGTTTTAAATAATCAAACCTAATGCAAAAATCCATGATAAACAAAATATCGAAATTTAAAACCAAGATAGGACAATAAGCACTTCCAAACTGTTCAAATATTTTCAATATGATTTAGAAGTGAGATTCAGCCCGGCTTCAAGATACAGTCCTCACCCAGCCTATAATTCAGTCAGGCACTTGCATGACTCACCTTACATGTCAGCCTAGTCCTGTCTCTCGTTCCAGTAAAACATTTTTTATAAAAATAGGCAGCTGGTCTGTCATGAGAAGTTTGTCAATTTGATTTTTTTAATTAAAAAATTTTTAAATTATTCAATTGAAAAGAGCATACAATTTATAAAATTATAAAGTATGATATATGACAAATATGAAAAATAAATTTAAAACTTCGATCATAACAATTGTTTTATAATTTAATTAAAAATTATTTTAAAATTAAAATATTATTTCTCTCAATCACTGGATTTTTTAGTGCCCTTTTATATTTTGTGCCTGAGGCGAGTTCCTCATTTGCCTGGCCTGTTTTCAATCCTGTTTCCACTGCCACCACCATGGCCTACACCAGCACTGCCTCTCATCTGGACCACAGAAACTGCCTTCTCCTGGGTCCCTTTACTACCTCTCTTGTCTTTTATTTTTCAGACAGCACTTAAAGGAGTTTTAAAATGGTGGCTGAGATAAAGTCTTTCCTTTCAGCGTTTCCCAGACTACTCCTACATGACCTGCAAGACCTGCCGCAGTCTCCCCTTCCCTTGCTCTTCCGCCTACTCTTCTGCCACTCTCTTCCCCACTCACCACACTTCAGGCACCCTGGTGTTCTTTCTGTTCCACATACAGGACAAGCTCGCTCCTACCTCAGATCCCTTACCTCAGAGTTCTCTCTTCCAGGGACACTGTTCCCGCAGAGCTTCCGAAGGCCAATTCTGTCATATTCAAATCTCAGCTTATCCTCACTTCAGAAGTCACCAAATCTAAAATAATTCCCCCATCTCCACATCAGATAAATTTATTTAATTTGCTTGTTTTGTTTTGGAGTTTCTTTTGAAAACTTTATTATCTTGATCATTTATGTGTTTTCTTTTCCATTTTGTTGTCTATAATATAAAATCCATGAGGGTCGGGCTTAGCCTATCTTGTTTACTTTTGTGTTTTTTTTTTTTTTTTTTAAATCCCTGGACACTGAAATATTGCCCTCTAAAGACCACATTTATGATGATCAAACTTAATACAGTAGTCCTGCTTTATCTGTGGAGGATGCATTCCAAGACCCTCAGTTGATGCCTGTAACCACAAATAGTACTAAGCCCTATATACACTATGCATTTTCCTACACATGCATACCTATTATGCAGTTAAATTTATAATTAGGTACAGTAAGAGGTTAAAAAATGATAAAACAGAACAATTATAACAATGTACTGTAATAACAATTATGTTAATGTGATCTCTGTACTCACCTATTTTGGACAATGGTTGACCACAGCTAACTGAAACTGCAGAAAACAAAACCACAGATGAGGGGAGACTACTGTATTTGGCTAACTTGAGGACGAACATGGCATTTTCTTGCTATTTTAATAAATATTTCCCCATATCCCAGTGAGGGTGAAGGTTTTTTTTTTGTTGTTTAAATTTAAGGGTCTCTGGGTTACCCTCTCTCTTGCTACATAGATATGTTGCATAGTGGTGAAGTCTGGGCTTTCAGTGTAACCATCACCAAAATAATGTACCTTGTACCCATTAAGTAATTTATCATCCCTCATTGTCTCCCATCCTCTGACCTTTCTGAGTCTCCAGTATCTATTATCCCACACTCTATGTCCATTTGTACCCAGTATTTAGTTCCCACTTATAAGTGAGAACATGTAGTATTTGACTGTTTCTGTGTTATTTTACATAAGATAATGGCCTCCAGTTCCATGTTGCTGCAAAAGACATTATTTCTTTTTCTTTTATTTCTTTTTTCTTTTTCTTTTTTTTTTTTTTTTTTTGAGATGGAGTCTCACCCATTCTCCCAGGCTGGAGTGCAGTGGTGCAATCTCGGCTTACTGCAACCTCTGCCTCCCAAGTTCAAGTGATTCTCCTACCTCAGCCTTTCTGAGTAGCTGGAATTATAGGCATGTGCCACCATGCCCAGCTAATTTTTGTACTTTTAATAGAGACAGGGCTTTGCCATGTTGGCCAGGCTGGTCTCAAACTCCTGACATGAAGTGATCTGCCCGCCTCAGCCTCCAAAAGTGCTGGGATTACAGGCTTGAGCCACCATACCTGGCTATGATTTCATTTTTTTTTATGGCTTGATAGTATTCCATTTTATATATATATATATGTGTGTGTGTGTGTGTGTGTGTGTGTGTGTGTGTTTGTGTGTGTGTGTGTGTGTGTGTAAGCTTTTCGCTATTTTTTTGTAATATGTTTATATTTCTATTACCTAATTTTTTACCCTTTCAGAATGAATGGTCACATATGAATCAAAGTATAAGACTTTCACTCAGACTGAGAACTTGTAGGCCAGGCTAGGGATGCTTGTGTTGGGGGGTACTCTTTTTTCACATTCAGCTTTTCATTCTGACCACTCATACCACCTTCTCATACATTATCTCATCTTTCAAAATCAAACGTTTTCTAGATTTAAGCATCTCATTTTCAGTGCCCACTTACTGAATCAACTTCTTGAAATCCAACCACCCATCATAGCTCTTATCTGACACTAGGACCTTGGTCTTCAAGGTGGGGCAGTCGGACATGGCAGAGTTTACAACTGGGGCCATAGCTTCATTGGCCACAATGCATTGGGCTTTAGACATGTGTAATTGATAGCGAATTTTCTTGGCAGTCAGCTTGGGGCTCAAAGGTGATTCCTGAAAGGTGATTCCTGAAAAAGTCACAAAAGAAGGCTTCATTTCTGTCTTTTGAGTAGAGAATATTTCCTCAAGCATCCTGGCAGGCATGGATGAGGTCTCTGGGTTACCCTGTCTCAGGAGTCTGTCTTCTCTAATGATGTAACAGGATGGCAGCTGGGGAAAAGTGAGACAGGCAGGAGACTGAGCCCACTCAAACAATCCAGTGATCAGTGGCTCTGCTGCTGTTATCCTTTCACCTCAAGCAGGTCCCGAGTTTATATGGCTAGGTGGCAGACCACCTATTACTTGAAATATAGCCTGATTTTGAAACTATGAGGCAAAGAGATTATGGAAACTTCCTCTTTGTTTTCTTATAGCTTGAGAATGGCTTTTGCTGTGGATTTCTGGATTTGCACTGGAGACAAGACACAAAACAAAAAGATCTTTCTGCCTCTTTTCTGGGGCTGTTTCTGTAGATTCTTCTGCACCCATCACACACCTATTGTGGACTTCCTATGAGATTGGCATATGCTGGGCGCATCTTTGTGCCAGAGGCTGTTCTGACAGAGGCTTCTTTTCACTTTTCAAGCTTGGAGAACTAGAATACCTCTAGGATTAACTGTTGATGTTCTTGTTTGCCTTGCAGTAATGCTTACACTCTCAACTACAGACCTATTGATTTTGGAAAAGAATCTGGTTTTACTGGTGAGGGTCCTTTCCACATTCTCCACCTTTATCTTCTGATTCTTATATTAAAATCTCTTGGGCCACATAAAATGTCATTATTCATAATTGCCCAAATGTGAAAACAACCTAAATATCTATCAAAACTGATGAACTGATAAATGAAATATGGTATATATATTTACATAGTGAAATGCTATTAATTCATAAAAAGAGTGGAGTACTGACAATGCCTTATCATGGGTGAACCTTGAAAACGTTACGGTAACTGAAAGAAGCCAAGTACAAAAGGCCACATGTTGCATTCTGTTTGTATGAAATATCTGGAAGAGGCAAATCAAATCCAAAGATAGGGAGTAGATTAATGGTTGCCAGGATTTGCAGAGAGGGGAAAATAGGGAGTGACTGCTAATGGATTTCTTTTTGAGGTGATGAAAATCTTCCAGAATTAGACAGTAGCGATGGTTGCCCAGCTTTGTGAATATTCTAAAAACCACTGATTTGTACACTTTTAAATGGTGAATTTTATAGTATGTAAATTATATCTCCAAAACAAAGTCATAGAAAACAGGATCTGGAATGGAATGGGGAGTTCATCTAATTCGAGTTACTCACTGGGTTGTTAGGAAGGCTGAGGGACACAGTGGAAGGGACTTGTTCAGCATCACCGATTGTCATCTTATAGCTATCAAGTTATCCTTTAGCATTGTGTGTGTGTGTGTGTGTGTGTGTGTGTGTGTTTGTCTCTGTGCGTATATCTGTGCAATTGTGTGTGACACAGAGAAGTATCTTTCTTCAGATAACTACAAATGCTTTCAAGTGTCCCCATGCTTAGATGAAGCATTTGAAGAGCAGTGCCAAGTAATGCTAATTTATTTTCTCTATTGATTAGCAAGAACTCTTTCTATATTAAGTCCATCAACCACTTATCTTTCATGAGTGTTGCAAATATGTTTTCTATTTTGGCATTTGTCTTTGCCATGGTATGAATGTGTGTGTGTCCCCCAACCCAGATTTATATGTTGAGATACTAAACTCCAAGGTGATGGATTTCTTTGAGACCTTTGAAAGGTGATCAGATCATGAGAGGAAGTCTTATGAATTTCATTAGTACCCTTATAAAATAAGCTCCCAAGAGATCCCTCATTCTTTCCATCATGTGAGGACACAGCTAGAAGGAGCTATCGATGAATCAGAAAGTGGGCCCTCACTGACATTGCATCTACCTTGATCTTTGACTTCCCAGCCTCCAGAGCTGTGAGGAATAAATTTCTTTTATGTATGAGTTACTCAGTTGATGCCATTTTGCTATAGTAACCCAAGCAGACTAAGGCAGTATTAATTTTTTTTTGTTGTGTTTTAAGAAAAATTCTAGAACTTTATAATAGTAGAAATATCTAAAAAGACATCTAGCAGCTTTTCTTTTTGTTTACAGATATAATGTTGAAATTTCTTGTGATAATGTAAGCGTATTTTAAAAACATTTAATTTTATCATGTTGAGTAATTTATAATAATTGAGAGAGAATGCACATGTTGTTAGAGCCGTCACTGTGAAGCATTCTGGATGCCACAAAAGGGCACATCTGCTATAATCACATGGACAGATCTCATATATATGGAGAAGGGAGGATTGCACCCTGTTCCTCCTCCAAGTTTGCCACACATATGCTCCTTGTATATTATAGTTATTTTTTTCAATGAATGAAATTTTTAAAATTTCATTAAGTGTAGTACATCTTAATTTTTTTTCCTTTTTTATTTGGGCATCTGGTGCCATGTTTAGAAAGCCTTTCCCTGAGTTTATGTACTCACCTATATTTTATTCCAATACTTAAGTCCTTTTTGACATTTCAATTTTTAGTGGTTCATTTGAAATTTATTTTGGTACACTATTTGGAGGTAGAGTTATGACATTTAATGTTTTCAAACAGTCATCTTTAAATCATTTTTAATCAGCACTTTCATTTCTGGCTTGAAAAGACCTGATAAATTCTTATATATACTTCAGTCTGTTCTGAGCTTTCAATTTTGTTGTCATTCATTTGGCCTTATACCATCAATAAGCAATTTTAATTATTCTAAGTGAAAATGATAGCACCGCTTTGGACTGGTCTGTGGCCAAGGAAATCACTATGTGTAACTCGGCCTCAGGTAGGAGGAATTTCTGATGACCCAGACTGAAGTGGTCCATGTCCTTTCTCAGATACGGATCAATTGTCCCTGAGGATAACTCAGTCCATTGGGAACTGGGGAAACACTGGGAGCCTAGGTAGTCCTGAGGGTAGGATTCAATCCCTTCCTCTCTTCTGCATGTCCCCCATAACTGACAGCTGGCATCCTCAAAGATGCCTGCTCTTTGAATCACTTTTCAGGGTGTTTTATTATTATTATTATTATTTTTAAATCTAGCATCCCTGTTAGTAGGCAAAGGCAGTAGTAGGCCAGGCCAGTTGTGGCAACTCCTAATGAGTTTGGCCCATCCCAGGGGTACTTTGTTTTTCATAGGCACCTCCCAACTATCAAAAAATGTATGTCTCTATCCAAGAATAGAAAGTCAGTTCCCAGGTCTTTGTAAGAAAGAAAAGAAAGAAAAGAAAGAAAGAAAGAAAGAAAGGAAGAAAGGAAAGGAAAGGAAAGGAGGAAAGGAGGAAAGGAAAGGAAAGGAGGAAAGGAAAGGAAAGGAAAGGAAAGAAAGGAAAGGAGGAAAGGAAAGGAAAGGAGGAAAGGAAAGAAGGAAAGGAAAGGAAAGAAAAAAAAAAACCAAAGTCAGGTACTGTAGCAGACAAAGAGGAACGATATTGGGGTGGGCTGCTTTCTAGTATCCTTCACTTCTCACTGTTGCGAAGGGGCTCTTAATTGAGGCATTTCTGTTTATGTTGAAGGAGTGAGCCTCAGAGCCATGGATGGGATGTCAACAAAGAGCAGCTGTATCTTGGCTGATCCCAAGCTCATTCAGGGTGACTCTCAAGGACTCTCTAATACTGGATGTAGAGCAGTGATCCCCAACTTTCTTGGCACCAGGGTTTTGTGGGAGACAGTTTTTCCACAGACCAGAGCAGGAGGATGATTTCAGGATGATTCAAGGGCATTACTTTTATTGTGCACTTTAGTTCTATTATTATTACATTATAATATATAATGAAATAATTATACAATTTACCATAATGTAGAAACAGGAGGAGCCCTGAGCTTGTTTTTCGGCAACTAGAGAGTCCCATCTGGGAGTGATGGGAGATAGTGACAGATCATCAGGCACATCTCATATGGGGCACACAACCCAGATCCCTTGCATGCGCAGTTCACAATAGGGTTCGCACTCCTATGAGAATCTAATGCCACCTCTGATCTGACAGGAGGCAGAGCTCAGGTGGTAATGCAAGCGATGGGGAGTGGCTGTAAATACAGATGAAACTTTGTTCACTTGCCCTGTGCTCACCTCCTGCTTTGCGGCCTGGTTTCTAACAGGTCACGGACTGGGGATCCCCTGAGGTAAAGGACCCTTTAGAGATATTCCCACATTCTCTCTCTCTCTCTCTTTCTCTCTCTCTCTCTCTCTCTCTCTGTTCTTTTGAGACAGAATCTTCAGAATCTTGCTCTGTCACCCAGGCTGGAGTGCAGTGGTGTGATCTTGGCTCATGGCAACCTCCGCCTCCTAGGTTCAAGCAATTTTTGTGCCTCAGCCTCCTGAGTGGCTAGGACTACAGTGTGTGCCACCATACACAGCTAATTTTTTTTTGTTATTATTATTATTATTTTTTAGTAGAGTCAGGGTTGTGCCATGTTGCCCAGGCTGGTCTTGAACTCCTGAGCTCAAACAACTACCCACCTGTGCCTCCCAAACTGTTAGGATTACAGGTGTGAGCCACTACACCTGGTCTTCCTACATTCTCTTTTTTATAGATGGGGAAACTGAGGCCCAGAGAGGGCAAAATGTGCATGCTCTGTTACTTTGATGAAGACTATGTTAGGACAGAGGTCTACAGTTCCTTCAGGTGATAAATGGCCTATAAGCTAAGTGCTCTGTGGATTATTTACTCTTCACAACAGTTCTGTAAGACTGGACTGTAACAGTTCTGTAAATATGGACTATTACTGTCCATATTTAATAGACAAGGAAATTGAAGTTTAGAAAGGCATAATTTACAGAGATGGTAAGTGGTGGAGCTGGATTCAAATCCAGCTGTTTAAAGATCCCCACACTGTGGGAAGAATTCAGCCATCAGATGGAGATCCCTCTAACATCTCCATTCTGTGAATAATTGAGATTGGGATTCACATGAGCCTCCAACCCTGGGGGTCCCTCTCCCATGCCTCACCAAGGTGCACACAGGCCAGGCAGATCCAGTAGGCTTCAGGTGTTGGGGGCAGGATTATCATCAGCCGGTCTCCGTGGCTAAGGGCACAGGTATCTGAGAGGATGCTGGCAGTCTTCTTGGAGAGTTGAGTCATCCTTTCAGAGCTCCATTTGTCCTCTTCTCCTTTGGCACTAACTTCCCAGAGGGCGGGGTAAGGCTCCCTGAGTCCGTCCTAGATAGGGTGATATTTGAAATATTGAATATTAGTCAGTGTGGACATTGGCTATGGGAGGCCACTGTTGCCAGATGCCACCCTCAAGTGGCTAGATCTTGAGAGGCCAGGATGCCTGGGCCTAGGGAGAGCTACTGTTTCTCAACTGGCACAGAAATATTTACTGTTTACCGACATGACAGTCCTGGTGGGTTTCAACATAATGTCAGGCATGAGCCTAGGGAAGAACCTCCTGAGAGAACCCAGCATGTAGAGGCAAACCAGCCCTGCCCAAGAGGGCAGAGATTTCTCTGGGCATAAATCCCACTACTGGGTGTCTACCCAAAAGAAAAGAAAACATTATATAAAAAAGACACCTGCACTCATGTGTTTATAGTAGCACTCTATTCACAATAGCAAAGTGATGGACTCAGCCTAAGTGTCCGTCAATAGATGATTGGATAAAGACAATGTGGTATACATACAACATGGGATATTGCTCAGCCATGGAAAAGAATGAAATCCTGTCTTTTGCAGCAACATGAATGGAGCTGAAGGCCATTATCTTGTGGGAAATAACTCAGAAAACCAAATACTGCCTGTTTTCACTTGTAAGTGGGAGTTAAACAGTGGGTACCCATGGGCATAAAGATGGAAATAATAGACACTGGGGAAGGGAGTGAAGTTTGCAAAATTACCTATTTTGTACTATGCTCACTGTTTGGGTGTTGAGTACACTAGAAGCTCAAACCTCAGCATTGTGCCGTCTATGCATGTAACAAACCTGCACATGCACTCCCTGAGTCTAATTTTTTTAAAGATTTCTCAGGGCATGATCCTGTAAGTAGAGAAGAGTGCCCTCCTTCAAGCCCATTAGGATTCTATTCCTGCCTTCACATATACCTGTCTTCCAATGCAACTTATTTTTCAGTGGGACAAGTTTTGAAGGGAAACAATTTAATTTCCCATGCATTTTAGTGAATGCATGGATGAAGTTACCTAGAACTTTCAAAACATTTCCATTCTAGCTGAGCCTTCTCCTCCTTGACAAACAGCACAGGTTTGCCCTCTTCATTCCCTGATGATGGAAGGAAGGAGGGTTCCTTTCTCCCTTTTTTCCTCCTCTCCCTCCTTTATTCCTTTCTTCCTCCTTTCTGTCCTCTCTGCCTCATCTCTTTCTCCCATCTCTCACCTCTTTCCCCATTCCTCCTTTCCTTCTCTCCTACCTTCTGAACTTAATTTCTTTCTTCCTTTACAACTTTCGTCCTCCCTTTGTCTCTTTCTCTTGCTTTTCTTCTCTTTTTCCCATCTACCCTGGAGCAGCCCATAGAATTGCTACTTTGTTCTGATTGTTTTAGAATTTCTTATTACAACAATGAGAATTGGCAGGGATGGTATAGGCCTTCCCAACAACTCCTCCCCCTATGACCAATAACAACAAACACAACTGTATCTCTCCACTGCCATTAATTTTTATTTTCTTGTCAACTGTGTGATATGATGTGGTTCAGGTCTAGGCCATCAGTGACAATTTTATGTGGCTGTGGAAGTAATGTTTTTTTTTGTTTGTTTGTTTGTTTGAAACGGAGTCTCACTCTGTCTCCAGGCTGGAGTTCAGTGGCATGATCTCGGCTTACTGCAACCTCTGCCTCCCAGGTTCAAGCAATTCTCCTGCCTCAGCCACCTGAGTAGCTGGGACAACAGGAATGCCCTATCATTCCCAGCTAATTTTTTTGTATATTAGTAGAAATGGGATTTCACCGTGTTGCCCAGGTTGGTTTCGAACTCCTGAGCTCAGGCAATCCACCTGCCTCAGCCTCCTAAAGTGCTGGGATTACAGGCATGAGCCACTGCACTGGTTGTAATTTTCATTTTTGTTCTATAATATCTTTGCACTACCCAGGTAAGAGCTCTGCTCAAATCACTCAAGCACCTTTAGTGGTTCGCCACAGCCCATCACATCAGGTCCAAACTCCTTGCCTAGGCCTTCAGGGCTTCCCTTTTTTTTTTTCTTTTAAGGGTGATAGAATTTACTGATTAACAGACTAGTAAAAATGAAAAACAGTAAAAATACCAAGAGTTTATGTATGTATGAAAAAACATGCCCTATCACACAAACATGCCATTGATTGTGGGAATTGATAATTTTTTTCTAGAAGGCAATCCAGAAATGTGTTGCCCGAATGTTTACATAGTATATTTGATGGAGTAATTTCACTTCTGGCAATTTAAATGAAGAAAAGGATATAGATACACAAAGATACTCATTTCAGCATTGCTTACAATAGCAAAAAAAGTTGTAAACCACTTAAAGGAGTAAATACATTTTGGTTCAATACTCAGTGAAATACTTTATAAACATAAAGATATTAAGGTATTAGATAGAATATTTATTGATGTTGAAAGGTAGTTTCCATAGCACATTATTTCCACATTATATTATTTCTCCAGTGCGTTGTTTCTATATCATTTTATTCCCACAGCATAGCACTTTCACAGCACAGTGTTGGAGGAGAAAAAGAGCAAGTAACAAGTGTGATTCTAGTTTACAAATCATTATACACAGAATGACTCCATTTCTGTGAAAGCAGATGATCTGTAAAAATCAGTAGAAAAGAAAATAAGCCTAAAAATACATATGAAAATTACCAGTGGTTATCTTTGGGTAATATTCCATATTAAATTTTTTTTTTTTCATTTTTACCAGTATTTCCTAACCATTCTATAATGAAGAGCTCTTAAATGATAAAGGGCTGGACCAGATGATTTGTAAAGTTCCTGTCGACTGACGTTTTAGGCATCTGTGATTGATGCCCCAAGTGACTTCAGACAATTCATGTTTAGTTGGGTCAACTGTGTGGCTTTTGGAGCCCAAGCCTCTGCTCATAGCTGCAGTCTTCTGCATTCCTTGCCCGCCCTCCCTCTCCCTGACCCCCATCACTGCTCAACTGTCTTGCCTCTCAGCCTGGAAGCTTCTGCTGGGTAAGGCCCAGGTGGGCCTTTGTCTGTGATCTGTATGCTTAATCAAGAGCTGAGCAAAGGAACAAGGCTCAGCATGGTGCCAGATGCCATGCAGGCACAAAGAGATAAAAGGCACAATGCTAGCCCTAGAATCTTACTGGGACCCAGGACTCACACTTAGCGCCTGGTTGTAGAACACTATAGGGTCCAGCCCTATAATGTTCTGTGAGGCCCTCCCAGCTGGTGTGGATACAAGAAACTGTAGAAATAGAAGGCACAGACACAGAGATAGAGAAAGAGAGTTTGGGCTTGGGGGTCCACTGCCAACCAAAGCATGGAGACCTGCAGTGGCACCGAGTGCCTGGACACTCTGACTTTTATTGAGTGCAAATCAGTGGGCAGGGAAGGTAGGATGAGGTAATGGTGGTCAGTGATAGGGTCAGGTAAATCACCTGTCTTGAAGATAGGAGGCCCAGGACTTTCAAGTAGCTGAGGCAAGGAGAAAACCTAATGCGTGAGCGCTCTTCCCATATTTGTTAGAAATGTCAAGGACCTTAATTCTTCTGAGAAAAAGAGAAACCAGGTGCAGAAGCAGAGTGTGAGAATGGACATGGAATGTGACCACTGAAGCACAGCATCACACAGAGATAGTTAAACCTCTGGATGTCTGCGGGCTTTCCTGACAGCCATCGGGCCTTGCCACAAGAGCTTGGAGAAGCAGAGTTTTCTCCTAACGTCCTCAGGAAGGAGATGTCTTGGTCATTTTGGACATCTCCTTTCCTAGCTGGCTAAACAGTGGGTGCTTTCACAGCACTGGCACTGCCGCACAGCCAAGGCACTCTCCAGCAGCCCTTATGCGGGCGTGACAGAGGGCTTAGAGCATCTTGCCTTAGGATCACTTTGTTTACAATGTCACCTCAGTTACATGTTTCATAACCCAACAGCCATTAGTAAAATTAAAGATTATATTGAGTATATATCTTTATGAGTATAAGTAACTATAAGATTATATATGATTATAAAAAGGAATAACTATATGCCTACATTTCTAATTCTTTTCTAAATCAATATTTATATGGGAACAGGCTGAGGCTTCAGACCCTTGCCGCGGCACTAGTGTGGTTCCCCCCTACAGAACACCAGCTAAGAAATGCAGAGGAGAGAGAAAGCAGCACAGGCTGGGCTGGGAAGACAGAATGGGTGGGGAGGGCACCCCAAGAGGAGGCACAGCTCAGCAAAGGTGAAAGCCCCCCAGAGTCCTTCAGGATACATGCCTCAAACCTTTTCAAGGAGCTTTCACAATCCTTGCTCTAAGGAATTTTTGTTCTTTGGCCCAAATGGGTAAAAATTAAGTCTCCTAAACAGAAGTCTTCCCTCTAATCTAACCCTAGATGATGGACCAAAGGCAATAAAAATCTTTGCACAAAGACAATGAATTACTGTTTTGCTCGCTTTCCTTACTCCTCCCAAAGTGAGTGATAAAGATGGGGAAGGCCAGGAAGGGGCCAGGGGAGGGGAGGAGGCTAGAGGGACAATCAGACATGACACATGCAAATAACACTTACTGCCCACCCTCCACATGCACTGGATTCTCCTACGGTCACCACCAGCTCCATTTGATGGAGGAAATGAGACTTGGAGAGTTAAAATGGCTTGCTCCAGAGTCACCCAGCCAGAGAGTGAGCAAGGCAACTCCATGCAGCAGGACCTTTCAAAATTAGACTCCTTCCTGCCTTTTTTCTCCTCAAAACTCAGTACTGTTCCCTACGGCCCTATACCCAGCCAAACTATTCCTGCATACTCTTCCTTCTTTCCATCATGTGTCTACTCATGTGATTGTTCCTGCCTAGACAGCCTTCCCCATGACTTTTTGTTGAAATTCTTCTCATTCTTCAGGATGCGGTAAATACCTCCTCCTTTACCAAATCTTTCTAGATTGCATTTTCCAGTGGCATACTTATACCTATTTCCTTTGGCACTTCTTTTTCAGCACTTTGTGGCTATCATTTGCTTTAAAGAAAAACACTACACAGTAAGCTCCTTTTGTGTTTGGCTTCTAAAATTTTGTATGTGCTAGAACATGCTAAAAAATGATGGTTAATTAGAAACAAATCATATTGCTCTGATAATAGTGGTAATAAAAGCTAACTGTTATTGAATGCTTACAGGGTGTTGAGTCCTGTGCTAAACAGTTTTTATTGATTGTCTCGTTTAATCTCAACAACACTGTGAAAAACACACCATTAATATCTCCATTTTACCGGTAAGAAAACTAAGATCCTAGAAGGTAAATAACTCACTCAGGGTTGCACAGTTATTTAGCAGCAGAGCCAGGATTTCAATGTAGAACCATCTGGCTGTCAAGCCTATGTTCTTTGTCATTTTACTATAATTTCTTTTCTCTGAATTTGCACTTTCTGGTGCCAACCATAGATGGGATTTGATCTTATGATCTTTGGACACTTTATCAGTTGCCTTGGCCAAAGTTTCAAAGTTAGAAAACAAGAAGTTTTACCTTTTCCAGCTGGGACCACTGATCCAGCACATCCTTTGCAAAATTAAAGTTCTGGGAAACTGCTTGGCCTAGGGACCTGAGGTCAGGAGGCCTGATGGTCTGAGCAGGAAATTTTTGGTTTGGATAGCAGCAGGCTCCAAATCCAAGTCTGAAACACTGGGCCAAGGAGAAGAGTTGAAATCGCCCTAGCATTTGGGTCAGACAGGGAACCACCTAGGTAAACTGGGGGAAAAGACAGGGAGTAGTTGAGTAGCTCAGAGCAGTAATTAATCACTGAGGTTACAGTACTGAGAATGAATTCATAAGGCAAACAATTTCCTTATGAGTACAAGCAATAGTCAGACCATTGGAGATAAAACCCATGAGCACAGATACTTACCAATTCCAAGAGGAGTTTCTTTGGGGGGGGGGCTTCAGATGTTGGGAGGATGGTAGAGCTGTTGCCTTCTGCCTCCTATGAGAACTGCTTACCTCTTAAAATTTAGTTGCCAGCTCTGGGGAAGGAGGCATTTCCTTGGTCCTAGAACAAACTAAGTCCTGGCTCACTTTCATTGGCTCTCAAGCCTAACAGGCAATCTCTTTTTGCTTCTAGGAGATAAAATCTATGGGCTGTGAGCTAAGTTGAAGCAATAGGTGTGCGTTCCTTTCTAATACGATGTCAGGAGAAACAGGTCACAGACTATTTTGCCAAGCGTGGTGAAAAGAAGATGATGGACACAGAGTTTAAATAAGATTTTGTTGCTTACAAAATCCTGCACTGCAGAAAGGGAAGAGGGGATTGCTCATTAGCCAGATGAGGTAACCACATCTCTTTAACCCATGGAGACACGAAGATAACAGACTTTTTTTTTTTTTTTAAACTGGCCCTGTGGGATTGCCTCTCAAGGTAGTATAGGTGAAAGTTTTGTAACAATCAAGTAGGGAGCCAGACCTCATGATCCTCAGCAGAGGAGGAGAGGGTCCACCTTGGAGTCTAAAGTTTGTAAAACTAAAATTTGAAAGGGGGTGTTTATAATATACATTTAAAAGGGGTCACAATATTTGTCTAATAAAATATTGAAGATTTATTTTACTATTTTAATTTTATAACTGTGAAATATAACTTTGTTACTGGGGGTTGATATTCTTCATCACAATTCACATCCATGTTTCCAGTTACCAGAGGGAGTAAAATAATGTCAGATTTGGATAATGGGTTGACTTACATTCTAGAAACCTGAGATTTAATGGTTTCAATTTGATGATACTAACCATTGTAACTATATCTAATATTATAACTAAAATATTTTTTTTAAAAATTCTTCAGCTAAGACAGCGGAAGAGGTGATTTATTTTATGGTTGTTACACTCAGCCACAAGTAAACACAGAAATAGTCCAGAATGTCAATGTCACAGGTCCAGGGCAAAGGACCAACATGGGCAGTTTTGGTTATAAGCAAGGTGGGTCTCAGAGGTGATTGGCGATCAGATGGCGATGAAGTTCTAGATCCATTGAGACAAACTCTAGACAGTAGCATGCAGTCCCACAACTTGTACCAGCATCCCCAGCGTCGGGCATTACATGTTTCTGCTCCTGTGGCCTCCACGGTGCAACAAGCTAGTGGTTTACTTGGACCTCTGCCTCATCTTTCTTCTTTTGTGCTTCAGCCTGCGCATTCATTTCTTCCTCCACTTGGCTCTCATGGCGCAGCGGTTTCCAAAAAAAATGGTGCTAAGGCCGAGAGAATAACGAAAATATTCTAATAGGTTATCTAGTCCAAGTCCTGCCTAAAACATCATGCTGCCTTTAAGATGAATAAGCTCCTTATTGTGGTGCATTGGTTAAAGTTTTGGTTGCTTCAACAAAGACACAAAATAGTAAATTTGTTTCTTCAATTGACAGTCTGAGTATATGCAGTGAAAAGCTGTTTGTATTAGGGTTCTCCAGAAAAACAACCAATAGGAAATAGAGATATAAAGATGAATATAGATACAGATAGGTGAGAGGGGACTTACTAGAGGAATTAGCTCATATGATTATGGAGGCTTAGAAGTCCCATGATATAAGCTGGAGAACCAGAGAAGTTGGTACTATGTGGCTCAGTCCAAGTTTGAAAGCTGTAGAACCAGGGAAGCCAATGGCGTAACTCAATTTGAGACTGAATGTCTGAGAACCTGAAGTTCTGATGTCCAAGGGCAGGTGAATAAGGGTGTTCCAGTTCCAGGAGGGAGAGATGTAGACACACACACACACACACACACACACACACACAGAGAGGGAGAGAAAGGGCATTTTCCCTTTCTCAGCCTTTTCATTGCATCTAGACCCTCAGCCAATTAGATGGTGCCCACCACATTGAGGGTAGATCTTTCCCATTCAGTCCACCAACTCACACGCCAATATCCTCCAGAAGCACACTCACAGGCACATCAAGAAATGAATGCTTTACCAACTGTCTAGGTATCGCTGAATCCAGTCAAATTGACACCTAAAATTAACCATCACACTGGTTTAGTATCTCCACATTTCAGGGACCTAGGTTCTTTCTGTAAAGTTGCCCCACCATCTTTAGGGCATTTCTGAAACAACTTGACATCATATTCCACCCAGTGGGACGGGAGAGTGGTGAGGGGAAGAACATTCCTCTCGCCTAAGTGAATAGCTAGAAATTTTTACACATTACTTCTGCTCATATTCCATTGGCACAAACTTAAGTTATGTGGCTTCAGAAAGAGTCTAGAAACTATGATCTTTATTCTAAGTGCTTATATGCTCAGCTAAGAACTGGAGATTCCATTTGTGCTAATGAGATGTGGGCATGAATATTGAGAAACAACTAGCATTTTCCGTCACAGTCTACCCATCAACTATCCATGAACACACATAGAACATTTTTCCCATGCATAGAATATTCTCCAAGAGGCATAACCTTAAAGTCTCATAGAATTGCTACATCTAACTCAAAATTTAAGTTTGAGGGTATTGCTCAGTTCTCTTCAACTAATAGGGATGGGGTCCCTGCCATCAGGCAAACTAGAAACTAAAATGTAAGTCACTCTCCAAACAACCCACTCTATAGGTCTGAAGTGGGAACCATAAAATTGCATGGAAACCTCCAAGACTGAAAAGAGAAAAACTAGCAGTACCCAGCTGACTTGGGCCCAGCAATACCCACTTGTCAAATCCTGCTGTCCAGGAATGGTGAAAGCATCCACCCTGGCAGTGTTTGGGTTCTCAACTCATCTGGCAGGCACTAATTGTGCTTTCTGGGAGGCAATCCCACCTTTGCTGTCATCTCTACCTTTGGCTTGCTTTCTGGAAAGCCATTTCTTGTTTGTGATCCTCTTTGCCTGTATCTGAAGTGGCACTGGTGAATATGCCTTTCTTCAGGACAGCATGGCTTTTGTAGCCCACCTCATGCTGGTGCAGAATTGGTGGCTCAAGAGTTCTATTATGGGTCAAACTAGTCTATGCATCATAAAGGCTAGGCTTATGAGTATTTTTTTTTTTTTTTTGTCATACAGTTCCATCAAGCACTTGGCTTCTGGTCTGCTTTCCTCAGATAAATTCTATGTATAAATAGACATAACCAAATATGTTGTCAAAGTATAGCTTTCAGGCCTGAAAAGTATGATCTTCTATATACTGGCTTCTGGGCTTCACCAATTCTTCCTACTAACTTATTGGTAGTTAATTTGAGACAATTCAAAGTTATGGGTTTGGGAAAAATAGGAATACATGTAATCAGTATTCCTTTGGGTTTGCTGTATGGAGAAGGTGACTGAGAAAGCCTGGGTACACTGTCCTGCTAAAGTTATCTCTATTTCTTTTACACGTTTTATGGTTTTCAGTTTACAAGTCTTTCAGCTCTGTGGTTCAGTTCATTTCTAAATATTTTAATTTATTTTTCATGCTCTTGTAAGCAGAATGGTTTTCTTGATTTCTTTTTCAGATAGTATGTAGTGTATAGAAACACCACTGATTTTTGTGTGTTTTATCTCCTGCAATGTTACCGAATTGGTTTGTTAGTTCTAATAGATTTTTGGTGAAGTCTTTAGGTTTTCTCTGTATAAGATCATGTTTTCTGCAAACATTGGCAATCTAACTTCTTTTATTTTGGTACAGATGTCTTGTATTTCTTTTTCTTGCCTAATTGCTCTGGTTAAAACTTCCAGTGCTATTTTGATAGAAGTGGTGAGAGTGGGCATTCTTGTCTTGTTCCTGATCTTAGAGGAAAAGCTAAAAGCTTTTCACTGTTGAGCATGATGTTAGCTGTAGGTTTGTATATATGGTTTTTATTATTTTGAGGTACATATATGTACCTTCTATATGTAATTTGTTGAGTGTTTAATGTGAAGGATGTTTGTCAGTGCATTTTCTACATCAGTTGAGATGATCATATGGTTTTTGTTCTTCATTTTTCTAATATGGGGTATCATATTTATGTAAAATTTTATCGAAGGCAAAAGAATTCCATATTGACAGAGAACAGATAATTAGTTGCCTAGGACAGGGGAGAGGCAGTTGGATTGCAAAGAGGAACAAAGGGTATATTTTGAGGGTTATAAAAATATTCCATATCTTGATTGTGGTGATGGTTATTATTGATATAATTTAAAAATCAGTAAGCTATTTTCATTTTCAAAAGTGATAAGAAATCAGAAAAATGTAATAACCAAGTCCAAAGATAAACTCTATACCAAAAATGCATTCAAATGAATAAAAATCAAAGATTTAAGGCATTATATAATCTGCATTTTAAAAGAAAATGTTTTCTTAGCACAATACTACATAATCAATCTAGAAATTTTGGAAATAGAGATGTATAGGGAAAAAGAAAGGAAAATTATCTTGGTCCCTGTGGATAGGTATTTACAGTATTTTTGTGGTATTTTTATGTAGCAGTTTTTCACTCAATGGGCAGAGCATATGTACTTTTAATTATACTGTATAGAAACTCCTGATTTCTGTTTTCTTTTATCTTATATTAGCTCAAGATTAGTGTCTCTATCCTAAAATGTCTTCAAAACATGCGAATTTTAAGAACTGCCTAATAGTCCACCTTAAGGATGTAAAATAATTTAACAATTCCCTTTCTATGTATAATTTAGATTATTGTTATATTTTCACTATAATAAGTTCTTTGAATGCACAACTGGTTATTTTCCTAGGGTAGATTACTAGAGTTGAAACTATACTGAAAAAAAGGATG